AGGTTATGATAATAATATGTGAACATAGATTTGGTGGTGCATTTGGCCAAGCTCGGACTGGTAGGATACCGGCCTTCTATTCTAGGTAAACAGGTGACCTACAATGTATTATATTGGGAATTTTTCAATGTATTTGTCTCATAAAATTGATATTTGGTAGGATTTAAAGAGGATAGAGGGGTGCACTTTCTTATAACCTATATATTCAACAATCATGATTAGTTATGGTGTGTTACCCTTAATCCTTGTCCCATGATTCCACACAAAATACATTTACTTTGTACATACTATAAAGTATATGCTTTAAAATAATAGGTACATAAAGAATTAGCGGAGTTTAATGAAAATCCAATATTATTTTTTGTGAATTAATTTATTTTATTTCAAATTAATAATTAAAAATATCTTTTTTTAAAGGTTTATAACAAATATTAACCGTAAAATTTACTTTATTCTGGCGCCCAACATTAGAAAAATTGAGACAACATATTATTTTGATAAGCATAAGCAAAAAACGGGTATCTGGATAGAACATTATCACACAATATAATATATCAATTTATTTATTCAGTCATCTGTGATTACATTAATTATTATAACACATGTGTATAAATATATACAATATACATCAGAGGTTCCCAAACTTCTTATAGTACGACCCATTTTGAAAATTATTTCAATTTTGACGACCCAAAATAATATCATTGACCTTTTTTTTATTACTGTTTTCATCATTTTAAATCGAAGAAAAGTATTATATTTATAAAAAATGTTTATATTATGTAATTTAATTAGTAAGTATATAATTTTAATGTGAAGGTTGTAATTGTTTCCTATTTTTCATAACTGCATTGATATCCACTTTTTTATTTTGATTGCAAAGAACTTGTTGTAAGCTCATCATCAATTAATATTCGTTTTTTAACCGCTGACTTAGATATTATCTCTGTTTCTTCAGTTTTGCAGAACTTTGAGTCGTTGACTTTTTATTTAACCCCTTGTTTATAGTAACTGTACAAAAACACAAAAAATAACGAATTTATTGGTTATTTGAAAAATAGTAAGATTTAAACTGCGTGCATGTACCGTTTGTTAATGAAAATAATCAATTTATTTGAACGTCATACAGGTACTAATTTGTTTCGAATATATTGCTATATTTTCAATTATCATTAATCCGATTGTGTTGTGTTGGCACAGTCGAGCATAGACATATAAAGAAATATTATTATGTCTATTGGTCGCAGTAAATTTGTAATTGTCACAAACGCAGATAACAGTTTATAATAAAACTAACTAAATAATTAAACATCAACCATAAGTAATAGAAACACTCTCCGTGCACAGCTCTTATCGAGCACACATGTTTATTAAACGTCCGCGATTCTTTTTATGTTTCACTTATACAACTTTGTCGATTTTAACAAAATTTATACCGTTGAAAAGGGGAAAAAAAAGACGAATCACTAGTATTTCAGGTCTTACCCACCACGGGGGTCTGTGCAGCCCCAAGGTAAGAAAAATCACATTTTTAATTACCGTTGCACAAAATGTCTAACCAAAATAATATGCTGCCGCGCTCGTTATCTAACCAAAATAACACGTCACTGCGCTCGCCACCACAAAAGAAGCCATACAACTACAAACCGATAACTCCAATTAAAATTGTAAATGGCAATCAAATAATTAAACAAAACGAAATAATAAACACCGACTCGGACGATTTATCATCTGTTGATTGGACATTGGTAATGTCTCCTCACTCCCAAAAACGTCAGCATATTCCATCACCTATTACGTCTCCCAAAACCAAACAAAGCAATACATCAAGTCAGTTTACAACAAAAAATCGTTACACCTCACTTTCTGAAAACTTATCTACACAGGAAATAGATACTGATCAAACGTCTGAATTACCAAATACCAAACCACAATTACCACCTCCAATTTTTATCAAATCTGAATTAAACTACAAAAATTTCTGTGACGCTATCAAACTATTAATCGGTCCCGAAGAATTCTTTTGCAAAAGTCTTATCAATAACCTAAAACTTCAAACAAAATCAGCTGACTCATTCCGAAAAGTAACTAAACTGCTCAAAGAAAAAGGAGTTGATTTTCACACTTATCAAGTTAAACAAGATAAACCATACAGAGTCGTTTTTCGGAACTTACATCATACCACGCCTATCGATTTTATTATCCAAGAATTAAATGAAAACGGATTCACTGCAAGACAAGTTGTAAATGTAAAAAATAAAATAACAAAACTACCGTTACCCCTATTTTTCATAGACCTTGAACCTGACCAAAATAACAAAGAAATATTTAAATTAACTTCAATATGCTACACCAAAATTAAAGTTGAAGAACCACACCCCCGACGCCAAATAATACAATGTCTTAGATGCCAAGATTTTGGTCACTCGAGAACATACTGTAATCACGCACCTCGATGCGTGAAATGTGGGGAAAACCACAATACTTCTGCCTGTTTAAAACCCATCGACCAACCACCAAAATGCGCACTATGCGAAGGACAACACCCAGCAAGTTATCGAGGTTGCATTGTGTATAAAAATCTACAACAAAGACCCCAAAAAAATAAAAAAAAATTAACCAAGATTTCCAATCTGATATTAAATTATTAAGTAACAATAATCCCATACCTGTTAAAGAGGTTTATTGCACCACCCCAAACGATAATATTAATACTAATAATCAGCCTCACACTCAATCATACGCAGATGCCTCTTGTCAATTTAATAATACAAAAATCCATGAACAAACCACAAATTATTTTTCCAAACAGCTCACCTCATTCCTAGATGATTTTAAATTAATTATTAATCCACTTATTTCACTTCTCACAACGGTTATCAACAAACTTTTAATAAAAAATAATGAATAACTCCACCCAATCCCATCCCTCATTAAACATTTTACTCTGGAACGCAAACGGTGCCATTCAACACAAACATGAACTTCATAACTTATTATTCGACAAAGAAATTGATATATTCCAAACTCGATTCCCATAAAAATCCTCTTATAAAAAATATGTCCTCTCACGTTCTACCTGGAAACTCAAAACGACGTTTAAAAAGGAACTGGTCCCGTGACCTCTTATAATAAATTGCCAAATTACAAATTATGAGGATGTTGCCAATGGGCCTCTTCCCCAATCATGCTATTCATACCATTGTTATTCATAATATTTATCACATTTACTTATTGTTTTTGTTTTTATGTACAGATTGTAAATTTCTTTAAAATATAAAAAAAAATAAAAAAAAGTAATAGAAACACATGAAAAATATAACGCGACCCACAGTTTGGGAACCTCTAATATACATAATATATGATATGCATTAAGCACGGTAAATACTAGATTTACTGCAATAAGCTGATTCAGACTAGATTTCGGTATAATATAATTTATAATATATATATAGGATTTTCTGAAAACCTTGCCATGAAATCATTTAAAAAATGTGACTAGGTACCAAGGTGCTATAAACAGATAATCTGTTCACTATTCTATAATCTCAGTAAAGATTTTTTTCACGGCCGCGGCCTACTGTGCTGTAGCACAGTACCACAGTGGGCCAGTCCGGCCCTGTATATATCTCAACACATCTGCACGAAATTTGGTTCTTATACAATGTCAACCGTTTTTAGAAATATAAACAAGTATAAAAAAAAACGTGATGATTATTGAGAAAAAAAATCATATAGAGTCAACCGTCCACGGTTCTGTCACTGAATATTCTGTAGTTCTGTGCTATTGGTGATAACGGTGTCTGCTCATAAGCGCAAACTAGGGAGCGCAATAGGGTTCTTAGCACTCCTGAGTTAAGATTTACCACCTTTGTTTTTTTTTTTCAAATATATATAATCTATAGTAATTATAGTTAAATAACATTTTATTTTATTTTCAGCAATTTCAGCACTCCCAATGTTTGAGCTTAAGTTGCGCCAATGTTTTTGCTGTTAACAGTGATATCCATTAAATGTTCGCTCCTTTTGCCACTCTCCGTAGGATTAAAAATTATTTATGAATTACCGTTAGAGAAAACAGGCTGAATGGCTGATCTCACCTGAACTAGAAGTCTCACCCCTTTCTTGGCTTTGGATCACATTTAATATATCGTTATCTAAATACTTCTCTTGATACAATACATATATACATATATAGACACATATGCATGTATGCCATTTCATAAAGTAAAAATGTATTTATTTATCTGTGTTGTTCTGTTGCAAACACAAATATCGAACCATCATTTTGCTTAGTTTAATCTTATACTATTATTCATTTAAATGAATCTATAAGGAACAAAAAATAAAAATAAATATGATCGCTAATCGGTTTACACTAAAGTTAAAGTATTGATTAAATATTTAATAATATCAAACATATATATATATAATATATTTAATATATAATAAATGAATATGTAAATTTAATCGATGATTAAAGTAAGTTCAAGTAAACATATAATTTACAATAAACGTCAATATTTCAAAGAAGTCGCACGTTCATTAAAAATTTTAAAATTATTGTTTATTACGTCGTGTTGCGGATGAAAAATAAAATAAATCATATATAATAATATTGTTAATATTACGAGTCCAATAAAATAATTGATGATTTGATCAAATCTTTTTGTATGGAACACATAGTAACGGATAATAACGGCAACATTGGTTATGATGTACGATATATAATTTTTAATTCCGGTAGATGGCGTGAAAATATAACCATTATTGATAGGTTTTTAAATTTGAACGGTGAATACTCTCAATTATAAAATAATAAATAATTGATCATTGAATACAATTCGCTACTACTTTATATAGATTTGGGAGTCCTGTCAATATCTCAATTTTGTTTTTAAATCTTCGAGAACATGCTCCGTATACTAATGATTAAAATATTCTTATATTCTTTCGTAACAAAGGTAATGTACTTCAATCGCTTAAATACCACAGTACGATAACTCCGGTTCCCTTTCAAATCGTATAAATCTTTCGCCTTTTACTAAAGATTTCCGTGGAGGGGATCATTCAAGGGAGTATAGATTTTAATTTTTACATACGCCTGACCAAGGTCGGGCAAATATTATCAATATTATGATACAAGCTAGTTCTCATTTTATACATTCTATATGTATCTACTTAGAAAAAAGAATATATTGAATTTTCATCCAATAAATAGTTCTTTGATATTTTCTAGGCACCAGTACGTAGAAACTTTTCTACGATATCACTATTTGTTCGTTATTATTATACACTATCACTTATATAGACCTTATCGTATAGAAATCGATTGTAACCGTAGAAATTATAATTCGTTAAATATTATGAAAAGTAATTATTTCTAATAATGCAATACGCGTATGATTAACGGGTAAATAATTTTTTCGAAAAAACGAAAAGAAAACCTTTTTTTTTTTGAAAATAATTTGGATTTATTTGAAAAATTACGATCTATACAGTATGTATAATAAGTAATATAAATAATTTACAACAGTTGACCATGAATAGAAACATGAGGAGGAAATCACACATTTGTGACACCTCTTACATTTATAAGCTTTAACTTAAGTTATCAAATCACGGCACCATTTCCTCTTGAGGCATCTGGTTGGGTTACCTGGAAGTGTAGTGAAGCTAACTCTTTGATTAGTTGGTTGGGTATATTTTGAAGTTTGGCGTGGAAGCGTTTGAATTAGATAGCAGCTGTATTGTCGACAGAAGGTAATTTGAGGTCGGAGTTTAAGGTCTCGTTCGAAACGAACCAGGGTGCACCAGTGATTAGACGAAGAGTGATGTTTTGAAAAGCTTGTATAGTTCTCTTGTTAGAGTTCTTAGCGGAACCCCAGATTACAATACCGTATGTCCATATTGGTTGGAGAAGAGTTTTATAAAGAATGATTTTTATTGGTAAGGTGAGGTTCGAACGAAGCAGTGGTCTTAGCAGGTGAAGTCTGAAATTAGAACACATTTCACTCTAGTGTAAACGCACTTCTAGTGCAGTCTAGCTAGAGCAATCTAAATCTAGCTGTATTTATCTCTACAGAGTACAGGCACCTTAAGAGTAGCTGTCCGTGTTCGTCCTCTTGTAAAATCTGAATTAAATCGTGGATGTTCAGATTGTGTGTTAGCTGATGTTAAAAACCAACAGATAATTGTGAACGATAATCCTGATCTAACACTTACCTTTAATTATGTATTTTCACCTGAACATTCTCAAGACCAAATATATAAATTAGCGGTTGAAGATTTAATTAAAAAGTTATTTAGTGGTTAGTATACACATTAACACATTGACTGCTATGGTGATTTGAGTGTGTAAAGGCACAAGTAATTTTTTCAACTTGTTTATGCAATAATTACGTAACATGTGCGGACGCTCGGTATCTTATCTTATTGTGATTATTATTCATATTATTATTATTTATTAAGATATCGAGTTTGTTCGCGCATGTTACGTAGTTAATTAATGTATTATTTTTATAAAAACTTTGTCAACGGATTCCGGATTGCCGTCACAAAGCTAAATCCATCGCGCCAATGGACGCCGTTATCGGTGCACCTACTTATAAAAGGCACGGTGGCGTGATGGAAAGTCACCATTTACTGTCTCTCCGGTGTTGTAGTGAGACCTTCCCAGGCAGACTTACGCAACATTGGAAGACAGTATCCCCCCGACCTCGACGAACGATATATTTATGTTGGTCAATGTTGTAATAGTCGGAGTTATTCTGGCATTGCATCGATCAACATAACCATAGGTTTATGGGGCAATAGTCAGAGTAATTCCGGCATTGCACCGACTGTATTATCGTTCGTTCGAGGTCTTTATTCTAGTCGACGCGATCCGAGATCCGACAGTTAAAAATCAGTAAAGCTCCTCCGAGCACAATTCTTATTATAATAAAAACGCATTTTTTTTTATCATTAGTTGTCTTTCTTTTGTGTGTTTCATGACTCTCCGAGTCAAAACGTATCACAACTTATGACATTTTTTTAATGATTTTTGATAATTTCGTTAAATGTTTAAATCATTATATGTGTAATTTCACCTGTATAAATCTGAAGAGTCTCTAAGTCTCTAAGTGAACTTCAGTATCAATAATTATGTGAATCACATTTTCTAGCTTTAAAGGGACATTATCTCAATATTAAAAATGATAATCTTGAAATAATGTATAACATATAATATATAAAACAAATATTCAACTATAGGTAAATAACCGGCTTTTAAATTTTTATAGTTTTAAAAACATAACTAATTAGCCATATTCCTTTTGGTAAAAATAATTGATTATCTTTCAATTACTAAATGTATAATACTATAAAAATTACAACAAAATACATTTTTAACTTAGGTACTTATAACTTTGCACTTGAACATACATTATAATAATAATCAGCAACATTTTATAATTGAAATGTATATACCATTAAGTATTTGTAAGCGCATGAAGTGCTCGCAATAGTTTGAGCAGCTTGGCCACAACTTGAATTTTTAATAATAATTAATAAAAAGAAATAAAATAATTGTGGACTGTATAATTGATATAATAAATTTAATTAATACAAGAATAATAATATAATTATAATAAAGATCACAGCCAGATATAATTTGTGTTAAAACAGTAATAATAATAAATTTATAATAATAATGGTAATGCAAAAAATAAATGGTAATTAGATAAATGAAATAAATAAAATGTGTGGCACACACGAATTAATAAATACTTTGCCAATGACGGCTAGGCCGTCGGCCCTTACACTAATACACGAATATGGTCGACCAATACTCACAATTGTAACTGTGTTGAATGGCGGATTGCATCCCACGCGACCACAACGCAAAATATGCTTATACAATATACTAAACAGTTATAACAAAACTCAAAAAGCACAGTCCCCACTGCGTGCGACCACCCAAACACAGTCACAGACGAACGACGAATGATAACAAACTGAATGTTGATGTGCACACCACGAAGACACGTGGAAGAGAGAATCGGTGCCGACGACATTTTACCACGAAAGTTCTGGCCGCCGGACACCACAATGAAGATAAAAGGCCTCAGTGTTACCACACAAAACTGAAAAACACTCGAAATTAATGAACTTTGAGGTACTGAAAGCATTACTTTAACTTTTACTGGAGAACATAACCGACAATTTATTTGAAAACGTGCAATAACGACAACTTTCATGTGATGATAACAGCGCGATTGCGTACCCGGCCGGTCGCACACGGAGGCTTATCACCGCCGCCGACGAAGGCTGCGGATACGCAACGCATCGCACGAAAATGATAACATAAAATGACAAAACATATACTACCCGCACATGGCGGGAATTAAAAATCTTTGAATTGCTTGCATGCGTAGACATATTCTCCCCCCCCCTTGAAAGACTGTGTTCTTTCAAAGAGAGAGACAATAATACAAATATTTAACAAATCAAGAAATACATAACATAAAGGAATTTATATTGACACTTTACAGTGTGTCTTACAGTGTATACTAAAAACTATTGGTCTTCGAGATCTTCATCTTCAGGATTTGGTAGTGAAGCAAGTTTGACTACTGGGCTGCGGATACGCAACACACCGCTACGCATCGCATGAAAATGATAACATAAAATGACAAAACATATACCCGCACATGGCGGGAATTCAAAATCTTTGAATTGCTTGCATGCGTAGACAATATGTTTAATTTATTTTTCTCTGTCAGTAAAGGAATAAAATTATAAATTGAAAATTCCTTTTAAGTGGGATTATAGTTTTTGATATAGAAAACATTATTATTCTTATTTCTGAATATTTTTCATTTATAATTAAACCTATTTTATTGTATTAAATTATTATATTTATTAATATATAATTTATTACATTTGTAATTTGATTTTAAAATCTGCTATATTTTATAGTTTTCAATTTCTAAATTGTAGGATGGAAATATATCTTAATGATTTGTTTTTTAATGTAAAATACATATTTTTATATTGGTACTTTTAATTTAAAATGTTAGAACCTTTGAAATTTGTTGGCTTAATAATAATGTATAGATAAATTGACTGTTCAGTCAGATGTTTGACTATTATTATTGTTCTTATAAAACAATATATTGTTAAATAGATCTTGAGAGTCTTCTTTTATTGATTAAACACTGTTTTAATTTGCAACTTTTCCTAAAAGTCATTCAATTCTAATTACAAGGTATTTTTTCATTTTTAGTGTAAAAAATGTTTTCTTTGATTAATGATTAGTTTTTATTCCCTAAATTATGTTAATATTTTATTAATATATTGTTGAAGTTTCTGTTGTTTCACATAAAGAAATAATATATTAACTTATTGTTCCAGTGTAATATTATTTAGTTTAAGAAATCATTTTGTAGATTAAAGGATATCATAACAATATAAAGTATTGTTTGTGAAACAATTAGTTCTAATTTATGTATTTTTCTTATAATATAATGTTACCATATTAGCATACGGACAAACTGGATCAGGTAAAACCCACTCAATGGGTACAAATTTTGTGAATGATGAAAAAGAAGAAGAAAAAGGTATTATTCCACGATCTATTCAAAATATTTTCAATGAAGTACAAAAACTAAAAGAAGTACAATTTTCCATAAGTGCATCATTTATTGAAGTATTAATATTATTTAATGTATTTTCTTTAAATTTTTAAATGTTAGACTAATTTTATTAGTTATCATTAATTACAATAATAACTAGTTTTCAAATTTTCAAATTTTATTGACTTTTTGAAATTAAAATTGCTTAAAAATGTAGTTAATAACTAAATCAATTATCAATACATTTAAATTTTCATACTCCAACAACCAGTTGTAGCTGTTAAGAAATATACTGATTCTTTTATCATACTATCATATTGATGGAATGTACGCAGCCATTTCTTTGCAAAATTACTATAGAATTCACCATTTCCTGACCATTAAACTTTACTTACCCCAAGTATGTCTTTGTATGAGGTGTATAAATAAAGTAATGAGACTGATTTTATATAATTTTTTTTTTTTATTGAATTTAAATAACTATTTTATATTATCTCCTTCAAA